CGTGGGGTCAGGGGGCTGCTCCAGCTCTTGAGAGCGTTGGTGAGACTCACTCAGGGGTGATTAGTTTAGGTGACCAAGTTCGGTTGGTGGCGACATCCCCGCCTGGCTGGTCATCACAGGCTCCGTGGGGAGTGGGCACCAGGCTTCCGCCCACAGTCAGGCTGCACCTGCACCCCATCTGGATGTGGAACCACGGTCTATGCTCAGCTGCCCCCACCCTTACGAGGGGCCCTGGGAAGAGAGGACTGCAGCTCGCCCTGTCCCAGGGCCCCGGGGACGCTCGCCTGCCCCACCTGGCCCTTGTTAATCTCCTGCCCTGGCCAAGCTGGAGCCACACGTCTCTCGGCCACTCTGGGACCCCACCTGGGGAAGCCAGGTGGGTGTCCTATTCCTGGGAGCCTCCTTTCCTGCCCGAGGAATTCGGTCCTGAAGGGGGTGGCAGCGGGGCCCTCCCCAGGGACCCCCTCAAAATGCCCCACACACAGCATCATCCTTTGTCTCTTCCAAGGAAGGATGGAGGTTGATACGACACACTCCTTTGTCCCCTACACACTGGCTGTGGGGCCTCCTGGCTCTGACTTCGCTATTTACACTCAGCGTACAGCTCTCGGAACGCCAAGAAAAATCTTTCTCTCAGTAGAGCCTGGATCTTGGGACTCAAAGGTGCTTTGACGTTCAGACTGCGGCCTTGGCAATACAAGTGCAAACGTCTGCTCATCTGTTTCGGAGCTCAAAGGTCAGGAAAATGATTTTTTCTTCCCTGGGACAAAGCCCCAGACGCACAGACAGTAATGATGAAGAGTGATTCACAAAGAGAAAGATGAAAGAAAGAAAAGAAAGAAAGAAGAAAAGAAGGAAACACTTATTCCAGGACTTCAGGGTAATATTTCACAACATATCCCATTTCTGACGTTCCCAGCATCACCTCCCACGTCCCGGGGAGCCCCCCGCACCTGCCCACTCCTACCATAGGTGCCCATAAATGCCTGCTTTCTGCCGCCCCATCCCCCACCGTCTCCCCGGGTGCAGGGGGCCTGGGCAATGGGAGGGGTAAGAGTCTAAATGGTGCACTGCTCTGTCCTGGTAACTGACCAGCCTGACTCACTCTGGCTGAGCGGCTGGGGCAGGGGACCCCGAGACGTGCCTGGCATTAACCTTGGTTGGTGGGAGGTCAGGGTGCCAGGAGGGCTGGGGTGGTGAGGGTGGTGGGGGTGATGAGGGTGGTGGGGACGGGAAGGCCCCGCTTCCTAAGACTCAGGACAGCAGCTGTTTGCAGACAGCAATCGGGAGGCTTTACGGAGAGTATCTGCAGAAACCCAAGTCCCCCCAGTTCCCAGGACGGGCCAAGGGCAGGAACAGGCGGGAGGAAGAACACCACGTCTGTGCCAAGCAGCCAAGCCAGAGAGGTTTGTCCAGACAGAGCCAGGGACCGAGGGGCTCACTGAGCGGGGCGAGCAGGGGCTGGGAAGGAGATGCCAGCAGGCCGGGAGGGTCCGGAGCGGCTCTGCCCTCTTCTTCCCTCCAGTGTTTGCTGTGATGTTAGCGAGGAAGTGACCGAGGAGCCACAGGCTTCACTCTCTGCCCTCCTCCTCGCCACTGGGTGTGCCAGATGACCTGCAGGCTCGGGCTGATCCAGGCTGTCACCCACCTGGGGGGCACATCTCTGGCCCCGACCAGGTCCTCCAGCGCTTTTCCGCTCCAAACTTGGGCTCCGGCTGCCAAGCATGGGTCCTCCCTGGATTCACCTGCTGGTGGGCTCCTGCTCCATCCATGTGTCTCCCGGGCTGGGGCCCCGCGAGCTGCGACTAGTCCCCTTCCTGCCATGGGGCGGAGGCTGTAGAGGGAGCTTCACTCGCTTCTTGCTGCTCTGCAGACTCGGGGCTTTGAACTGACCCTCCTAGCTTCACCTGTTCCTCATATGGAAACCCTGGAGGCGGGAGGCCACCCTAAAACATTGGCAGGAGCCAGAACTCACAGATGACAGCAATGTGCCCCCAAACGCAGAGGCCTCATCGACTCATGAGCCTGACAGGAGCTGACAGGAGCTGCGTCCATGGTGCCTGCAGCCAGCGAGAGACGCTGTGATCCGCACACACGGGTTCCCGAAGGCGAACAGGAGCAGAACCACGGCCCCCGGGAGACTGCCCCGCCGCGTCCCCTCCCAGTCGCTGCCGGGCCCTCCCTGCTCGGCTCACGCGTCCGGAAGCCGTCGAGTTGAGCCAGAGGGGCCGCGCTGTGCGCCGGGACGCTGCGCTGAGAGTGAGTGTATTTCTCATCCACACACAACAGAGGCGGACAGAAGCGGCTTCACTGATCAAGCCCCTCACGTCAGTGGGATGGGCCCAGTCCAGGGTCTCTCCTCGGGCTGAAACGGGTAGACGTTAGCGGGCCGCATCCGGCTCCTCTTCCTCACCCACTGTGGGGCCTTTGCGCACCCAGTGAGACACATTTCTGGGATTCCGTCCCACTGCTGTGACATTTTATTGTGAGTGCAAGCAGCTTTCAGTCACGGTGTTGAGCTTGGGTTTGGAGTCTGACAGGCTTGTCTCAAAGCCTGGCTTTGCCGCTTGCTGGCTGTGTGGCCAGGGTAAGTCACTGATGTATCTGGGCGTCCCAGGATGGTTGGTCACCTTACAAGTTCTGGGCCTTCAGAGGAAGAAGCCACTCAGAAGAGACGCTGGGTGTGCCTGATACTGTTTTTTTAATACAGATCTTGGGGATGGGGTGGGGGTGAAGGCATTAGTGAGTGCACAGCAGAACTGTGAAGAAAGAGCCAACTGAAAACAAAACAGAGGCGGAGTCCTGCGGTACCAGCAGCAGCTCCGGGATCTTCCAGCGTCGGCGCACGCCTGTGACGTCGTCGAGGGCCATGAACAGCCTAGAGGAAAGCCCACGGGCCCCCTTTCCCTCAAAGGGCAACTTCATCTGACAATGAAAACACAGCTTATCAAAACGTACGGGATCCAGCCAAAGCATCGCTTAGGAGGATGTTATAGCTTGACATGCCTGTACTAGAAAAGGAAAAGGAACTTAACTCACTTAAGTTTTCAAATGAAGAATCTTGAAAAATAAAGCAAACGAACTCCAAGGCGAGCAGAAAAAACGGAACGATAAATATTGGAATAAACGTGAATGAAATAAAAAACAGAAAAGCAATAGAGAAAGTCAATGGAATCAAAAGTCATTTGTTTAAAGATTACACTGTAGAGCACAGGAAAATATACACAAAACTTTACGGTAGCTCACAGAGAAAAAAATGTGACGATGAGTGTGTATATGTCCATGAATGACTGAAAAATTGTGCCGAACACTGGAATTTGACACAACATTGTAAAATGATCATAAATCAATAAGAAATGTTAAAAAATATTATTGAGCAACAAAAAAGGAATGAATTACTGATGCACGTCATGGCGTGAAAAAAGCCTCAAACCACTGGGCCGGGGGAAAGAAGCCAGATACCGGAGACCTCACACTGCGGGTCCCGTTGGTACGAATTGTCCAGGAAAGGTACTGCCCAGAGACAGAAGGTGGGTTAAGGGTTGCCTGGAGCGGAGGGAGACGGGTGGGCATTGACGAGAAATGGGTGTGAGGGATCTGGCTGGGTGATAAAAATGCTCTAAATCTAATTTATTGCAACAGTTACACAACTTAGTAAAGTGACTCAAAAACAACTGAATTGTACACTTGACGCAGGTGAATTACGTGACACGTGCAACAGGCCTTAATAAAGATAGCTTTAAAATCTATACCGAGAGTCCAAGTGACACATGTGGTCACGGGGACTGTTTTTTCCACCAAAAAAGTGCAACCCAGGATCTGACAAACGATTTCCCCCATTTGTGAATGTTTCATGTGAAGTATTATTCATCATTAAAAATAAAAATAGAAAGAAAAGCAAGCAGCCGTCCACGTGCTGTGAGTGCCCACTGGGGACAGCAGACGCCTTCTGCTGGAGGTCAGGGGCTCCGGCTCCCGGGGGGTGGGAAGGGCAGTGTTGGCTGCTTTTTTGGCCTATTTTGCCCACAAGGAAAACCAGCATCGGGTGTGCAGGGACCCCACCTGCCCAACAACCTCCTATGCTGCGGGTGGTCTGAGGCAGGAAGGGAGGCTTCCTGTAGGCGGAGCCTCCTGGGAAGGCTGCCCACGGGGTGGGTGGAGACCCCGCTGGGAATGTGGTTTCCTCCCCTGCGACCCAGCGGCTCTATCACATTACAAAGACCTAAAAAGAGGCAAGAATGCATGTCCCTGTAGTTAGGGTGGTGCTGCAGAAACACGGGGATGGTTTGGAGTGGGTTAGAGCAACAACAATTCCAATTTCCCGGCGTGGGGTGCGGGCGAGGCAGGATGGAGACCAGTGATTTGGAACTTTCTCCTACCACGTTTGGTAAAAATCAGATTCCAAGACTCCAGGCAGCGTTTCCCTTTGTTAATCATCAGACCGAAGCAAGCACGGGTCTGTGCCAGGCTGGGTGTGGAGGCCCTGACCCCGTGCCCGGGCTCCTCCCGGGGAAGCAGTGCCTCCCGCCCTGTCCTCCCCTGCCCTGCGTGCGCGGGCTCCTCTGGAAGGAGAGGTCTGTGGGCAGACTCCGCCTGGCTCTGCTCTGATGTGGAGGGGTGTCTCTGCAGGTGGCCATCTTTGGCCGGGAGCCCCCCAGGCCAGCCTGCAGCACAGTGACTCCTCCCGGCCCAGCTGTGGGAGACTGGGCCAGCTGAGGCCTCCAGCGCCCGCCAGCGGGGACCAGGAGCCCAGCACACTTCAGACCTGTGAAATAAAATTCACATTTTACGGCAAGCCAGGGAAAATGTAAACATGTGAACTTCTCTCCCTTTGACCCCCCCCCCGCCTGTGAACTATGGGCCTGCGTTCTGCATCACCAAGCCTGCCCATCGGCGCGAGCACCTGCTCAGCCATGAAGAGCAGCGCTCTCCGAGCATCAACAGGACGGCTCCTTAGAAGACAAGCTTCCTTCTTGACCTTGTCAGGGGTCACATGACCACCTGGATTCTGTAAACTGGCAATAATACGTCATTTGAAGCGCAGCCCTCTGCCTCTAAAACCCTACGCAGCTGCACCTGGACTTCTAAGCCCGGAACAGTCCTCAGAGTTCTGAGATGCTCTTCCTGGGTTACAGTCCTCAACTTTGGCTTGAATGAAATTTTCCGTTTCTTGCTTAGATCGACTGATTAATTTCTCAATGGCGCATCCCACATCACAACAGGTCAGCGAGGTGTGAGGAGGGGAGCCCCGCGGCCTTTCCCAGGGACGCTCCTGGAGACACGGGCTGTGCCGCTCCCCTAAGCCAGCGCCTGATAAAGGGAGCGGCAGCTGGCCTCTGTGAAAAGCCGCGTCCACAGTCGTGACCACACGGGAGGGACCGAGCAGGATGGGACTTCTGGGCCCGCCCTTGGGCAGCAGAACCCCAGGTCTCTGAGAACTGCGAGCGCTCCCGGTGGGCCTGGGGTGGCGGCAAGGCCGGTGCGAGTGAGTGAGTTTGGCACATGAGTGTGAGTCTGGGTGTGTGTGCCCGCGGACGTGTGTGTATTTCTCCCCCCGAGGCTTGGCCCCCGTCCAGCTGCATCAGAACCTTCCGGATGCTGGTGAGAGCACTTGTTTCTGCCCCCAGAAACTCACTGTGTCCGGGGCCCAGGAATGGGGAGGGGGTGCAGGCAGCAGGGATCCAGCCCCAGGCACGGAGCACTGAAGCCTGGAGTCCTGAGAGGTGGGGGCGCGGGGCTGACTTTGCACCCACCTTCCTCATTGCGACCTGGTCCCTGCGTCTGTTTCTGTATCTGCAGACGGGAGCACAGTGGACTGTCTCCCCCAGAGCAGAAGGGGTGTGCGGGGTGCCCAAGGAGAGGCAGTTTCTCTCCTTTTGGTGACCCCATCCTTTGTCCTCATGTCTTACTGTTGTTTGTCTGAAACTTGTCCCTGCAGAGTGACTCTCCTGGTGCCCGGGGGCCAGTGGGGGGGGGGGATCAGACATTTGCACACACACCTCCCTCCTCCCCTGGAGCACACAGTTCTGCTCCCAGAGCCCTGCTGTGGCCACTGGCTCCTTAATCTCCTCTCCGATCCTGGATCGTGTGGGCTCCTTCCCTTGATGTCCTTTGAAACCCTGTCCTCCTCTGGCTAGCCGCAGCTCCGTCCTCCTCTGCTGCCCACTTCCGTCCAGTCCTGCCCTGCGGGGGACCTGATGTGGCCCACCTACCCTGGTGCATCACATCCGTCCGAGAAGCCCACCTGTGCCCTGACCTTGCTGACGGCTGTGCTGGCCAAGGAGGGGACACCTGTGCTCGCCATCCCTTGGTGGGGACTGAAGCTTGGGTGAAACTGCCCACGTCATGGGATGAATCAGCAGCCCAGCCAGGGTCAGAGGAATCTGTCGTCGCCATCACCACCGAGACTCCAAGGACAGGCTTTCCCTTCACAGGTAGAATTCTTGCAACGCGAGAGACATGGCCACCCAGCAGAGCAGAGAGAGAATGGTGGTGACAGAAGCCCTTTGCTCCTCCCGAAACAGGCTGGTGGTGTCAGGAGGGGATTCCTAAAAATGAGGTGGGAATTGCAGCCCAGCCAGAGGGTCCCAGGGCACGTGCGGTCCCGACAGCACTGGCCCCAGCAGCATACACCGTCCACGACGCCTTCTCGGGTCCTGAGCCCCACCGGTCCCTGCAGGTGCACGGGCTCTGGGGAAGCGTCTGGGGCCGTGTCAGGAAGCAGCTCTGACTCCCAAACAGATGTGAAGCTTCTGCTGGAACCCACCTGGGAACTCAGAGAACTGCCACCTTCCACAGCCCGGGAGGTGCCCGGGGCCAAGCTGCCTCTTCCCGCAACAAGCAACTTTGGGTTAAAGTCGATTCGCCTCCGTGCCTCAGCCCCCTCAGCCCTCGGGAGGGAAACAATAATACTGGTCCAGCAGATAACCGTAGGACCCCCCATGCACCATGGGACAGGCCGTCCCCCCAGCAGGGAGGTCCGGGAGCGGGAGGCCGCGAGGCTGGGTGGTGGGGCTGGGCCCCGACCGCGTGCAGTGGGCCGTGAGGCTGGAGAACGCAGATGCGAGGAAGCTGTGCAGGACGAGCCAGAGGAGCAGGGCCCTGAGGGGTAGAGGAAAGCGTGCCAGAACAGGAACAGGTGGGCGAAGCCTTCCAGGCAAGAGAGCCCGAGGGGAGTGGAGGTGGCCTGTGAATCCCCCGTTGCCTCCCCTTCCGGGGCCAAAGAAGAGACACAGGGGAGCAGCAGACAGTAAGTGTGCACGCTGGCTGGGGACATGGCGGTGTGCGACGCCAGCGGTGGCCGGCACAGGTGTCCTTGCTGTGTGCCGGACGCAAGCCAGGTAAGCGGGCCTCGTCACCCCGAGTCACAGACGAGGGGACTGAGGCCGGCATGGTTGGCTGGTTAGCCGGAAGCCACACAGCTGAGGTGGAGAAGCCAGGACCTGCCCGAAGCCCTCTGGTTGCACCGCTGTCGCTGCCTCCACAGGTTCGACGGACGCTTTGGGCTGTGACCGAGCCGCCCCCTGGCCAGGATGAAGACCCCGGTGGCCCGTGGGGTTTGGAGCGCGGTGGGCGCTCGCGCCCTGGGGGTCACGTGGAGGAAGGACCAGGAGAAGAAGTGGTGTTTAACCATATTCATGCTGGCGGTGTGGTCTGAGCTGGGTCTCAACGACAGGCGGACGAGGTAAATGACGGGGTGCGAGTGTCCCTGGGCGAGAGAGGGGGACATGTGTGGAGTGCTCTGGACAGGCCCAGGGTCCCCGAGGTGCGGCAGAGCCAGGTGGACCCCAGGAGAGGGGTGGCGTGTCCACCTGGTGGCCACAGAGGACATGGAGCATTGCTACCCCAGGAGGGAAGGTGTCCTGGAGGGGTGGCCACAAAGGCCTGGAGAAGCCACCCCCTGCTTCTCCAGGGAGACCTGCTGGTCAGTGACCTGTTAGGTCACCAATGAAACACAGAGCTGGAAAATTCAGTTAAGAAAATTCTCCACAAAGTTTGGTTTTTATCAAAATGCAGTCCGGCACGCAGTGGACTAACCAGATTCAGGGATTTGGGCAAAGCCAGAGTGTCGTGAGCCCCTGGACTCAGTGTCCCCCCTTCAGCTGCACAGTCCTGTCCAGCCCAAGCGACGTGTCTCATCCCGCGTCCCCGTACCCTGGGCTGACTCATTCGATGAGCCTTCGTTCTTCTGGGGGGGATTTGCTGGGCACCTGGGATCTGTATTTAAGGACAGTCCTGGCCACTGTCCAGCACCCGCCCCCAGCTAGAAGCAGGAGGTTTGCAACACCTCCTGCCAAACGCCTCAGGTAAGAGCGGGGACGAGGAGGAAACGCTCAGGACGCAGTGGGCACGGGAGAGGGGGCCCCAGGGTGCAGGGACCCACCGCCTCTCCCTGCACACCTCTGTCTTGGCAGCCTGCGCAGCTCTGCCTGCTGTGCCTGGGGGAGCAGGACCACCGAGGCCCATCACAGTGCACGTCCCCTTCTCAGACCCCACGAGAAACTGTGGGGACACGTCTCTGGCCCTGTGCTGGAGAGGGTCCCACCTGGTCTCCTGAGCCCCGTCCGGTGTCAGGGAGACCCTCACTTGGCACAATGGTGACCAGAAGCCAAATGGCCTTGTTACCTCGCAGTGTGGGGGGTGGGGTGGGAGGGCCCAGGGGCTGAAAGCTCCTGTCCAGACCCTTCGGCTGAGCGTCCCTGAGACCGGAGACCCGCCTCGCAGGCCCGGGATGCTGTGGCCGCCAGGGAAGCAGGGCTCCGCCCGCATCCTCACTCCCGTCACCCTGAAGTCCAGCGCCTTCTCCACCAGGGGTGTGACTCAGACTGAGAGCACATGAAGACATCCCCCTGCATCTGCGGCCACAGGCCCACACGCTGGGCTGGGGGTGGGGGGAGTCCAGACCCCACTGGCCTCCCGGGGACGGGAAGGTGCAAAAGGAGGCTGTCGCCCTCACCTCCCAGGCTGGGCGTCCTGAAAACGGGTGCCAGGACCGGCCCGGGTGCTGGGGCCTGAGCTGCTGTGGTCACTCTTGTCAGCTCTCTGCCCCGGATCCCCCCCATCACCTGTCCCCTCGGAGCAAGGGCTGGCTGTCAGGGAACGTCAGCGCCCCAGCGGGGCCCCCTCTGGGCCAGGCCGGGCAGCACTCTGCAGGGGGATTTCGCCGGCGAGGTGGCTAGGCCGCCTGTGCTCCTGTGCCCTCCAGGACAAGGCTGGCCTTGCTTTATTCAGATACTTTACGTTCTGCCCTGCTGAGGAATCTGCGTTCTCAGGGGACAGATTCTCAGGGACACACCTGAGTCTCGGCGAAGCCCTGGGTGCCAGCGGCCCAGCTCTGCAGGTGGTGGGGTTCCCCGATGGGATTAGCCGTGGTGCTGGCGGGACTCCAAGGAGCCGGCACACCGGGCACCTTCGAGGTTCTTCCTCTGGCTCCAAGATCCTGGCAGGGCCCAGTGAGGAGACACTCTGAGCTCCATGGGACCCGAGACTCTGACTGAGGACAAAGGAAGCCCTTGGTTCAGCCTTCGTTGGAGAGCAAGGACCACAGTCTCCTCTGGGCGCTCCTGCCTCGTCAAGATCTCAGCCTTCGTCCTGCAAGCGGAGGCCAGGATGCTGGCCTGAGGCCCCCGACTTCTGGCACCCACCCGAACACAAGGCCTCGGTGAGAATCGGGGGAGGCTGTCCTCCCAGGCTGATGAAATCTCTGCTCGGCTCCTGGCTTGAGATCTGGGAGACCTTATCACCGGGGTGGGGCTTCCTGTCCCTGCTGGTGGGGAATTCACCCCTGGAGAAAGGGTGGGGCTCTCAGTGGGACTGTGATGCACAAGCAAACCTAAAATGCCAGGCTCCCACAGCTCTGAGGGACAATGGAGGCTTGATGGTCCCAGGGCGGCTTGGGTCCCACGCCCCTGGGTCAGAGACCTCACCTCAGCACCCCCTTTGCAGGAAACTGGGACTGGCTGGCGCCTGAAGCCCACGGTGGCCGAGTGCCCCTGGCTGCCCCTCCTGCTGCTGGTGGACGGGCAGGGCCCTGCCGAGCGACGTCCGGCCAACTTGGGCAGCCTGCAGCGGTCTCTAGGTCACCTGGGGCAGTGCAAGCTACTTGACCGGGTGGCCTTAAGGTTATAAGAAAAGTCATGAAAATGAGAAAACCTGCAGTCAGGAGGGACCACAAGCCGTATGTCCACCCACCCGGCAATTATCAGGTGGGCTGACGCCCCCCGTGTGCCCAGGAGACCCACGTGATCTTCCGCAGCAGGGAAGGTCCTGGTGGTGTCCTCCACAGGCTGGCTCCAGCGGCCACGGCCCGCCCGTTCCCGGCTTTCTGAAGATCCTTCGTGGGCCCTGGCTCTGATGGAGACAAGGCTGTGCTCACCCAGCCTCTTACGTCCCCGTTGGTTGCTCTGAAGTCGGGGACTCACCCAGCTGGCTCCAGTTCTGTGCCCAGGGATGACGGGGACACAGAGGCAGCCCCCAGCCTGGGAAAGCAGTGTTTGTCAGGAAGGACAATCTCAGGACCTGGGCGGGTGGCGGGAAGGGGAGGGAAGGGAAGGGAAGGGAGGGGCTCTGCACACAGGTGACCTGAGGCAGGCGGCCCTGGGCTCAGTGGCCCCCCTGCAGGGTCCCACCCTGGACCCTGTTCTCTAAACCAAACCCCCAGGGATGCACCAACCTACCACCAGCAGCTGGTGGGCAGACAGAGGCTCCTGCTGAGATCCGGGCACCTCTCACCCCAGGCCCCGCCTTCTCGTCTCCTGCTGGTGGTCCTGACTGAAGGTGGGAGACTGGGAGGAGCAGCAGCCTGGGCCCGGAGCTTGGCATGATGGGGGCCGGGAGGGCCCTGGATTGACCAGGGGCCCAGGGAAGGGCCCTCGGTGGGGAAGGACAGCGGGAGGGGCGTCGAGATGTTGACTGTGCCGCCCCCGTGCAGACCCCGGATCAGTGTTCCGCACCTTCCGGGTGACGGTGCCTGGACACGCGCGAGCTTGGGAACCTCAGAGGGAAAAGCCGAGGCAGCTGCCGGGCTGGAAAGTGGAAGAGAGCCGAGTAAACGGCTGGAGCCTCAGCCCTTAGTGCCACTGGGCCTGGTCTGGCGCATCAATGGGAGAGTCAAATTTTACTTCGAACACCAGAGATTCGGGGTAAGGACGGGGCTCCCCTTCGTGCACTCACCCACCCCACTCCCCACTCAGCCTCAGTCTCGCCCTGGCAAATGCTAGTCTGGCTGCTGGCTGTGACTTTGGGTCCAAATCACGGTCTTCCAAGGCCACCCGAGCATCCCCTGGCCCGGGGGAGGCTCTCGGCCGCGGTCCCAGCTGCTGCCCACAGGCGGCAGGACGCAGCCCGGCTGCTGCCCTCGGGGGAAGGGAGTGGCCCTGGAGACAAAGGCCTCCTTAGAGATGAAGGTGCTTCTTCTGATGTTCTCTGCCGGGCCTCGGCCAGCCCGAGCCGGGCCAGGCAGAGCAGAGCCTCCGGACTGTTCCGTGACCCCTGGGCCTGAAGATGCCAGCTGCCCTGGGTCTCCAGCAGTTAGTGAGAGCCTGGCTCCGACCGTGCTCTGGGTGGTTCAGACCCTGGCCTGGAAGCTGGCAGGAAGGAGACCCCCACCCCAACCCTTTCCCTTCTGGCTTCCCCTCCCCCAGCTCCAAAAACAAAGACATGCAAGTCCCATTAACCCAGACAACGGTGGACACAGACTGGTTGGGAGGGTTCCGCCCACACTGGGAGGCGCCCAGAGCCAGCTGCTCCAGCTGTCGGACCAGGGTGGGTGGTTGTTGGTGGAGCCAGGGCTTCTGAGCTGATTTGCGGAGACAGGATTCCAGGAGATGCACGTGGAGCATCCACCCTTTTCCAAAATAAAAAGAAATGTGTGTGCAACATCCCCCGTTGCCCAAAGGCAGACTGCATGGCAAATAAGTGATTTGGGTACCAGGGAGAGAGGGTCGTGAGTCTCCCAGTTTTGGTCACAGAGTAGCGTTGGTTCAGCTGTGAGCTCATCCCAACCTCCCCATCGCTGTCCCAGAGGAAGATTTCCTAAGGAGTCAGCTGTGGTTTTGAAAGTGTGTGTGTTTTATTTTTTATTAAGAGCGCATACTAACTGTCCATCAACAGATGACTGGATAAAGAAGTTGTAGGGCATGTGTGTGTGTGTGTGTATATATATATATATATATGTGTGTGTGTGTGTGTGTGTGTGTGATGGAATACTACTCAGTTAATAAAAAAGAACAAACTCATGTCATTTGCAGCCACATGGATGGACCTGGAGATCATCATTCTAAGAGAAGAAAGTCGGACAGAGAAAGACAAATATCATGATATTATTTATATGCGTAATCTAAAATATGATGCAAATAAACTTATTTCCAAAACAGAAACTGAATCAGAGACATAGAAAACAAACTTAAGGTTACCGGGGGGAAGGGGTGGGAGGGGTAAATTGGGGGTTAGGGATTTGCAGATATTAACTAGTATGCACAAAATAGGCAAACAGTACATTTCTTCTGTACAGCACAGGGAACTATATTCAATATTTTGTAGTAACTATAACGAAAAAGACTATGAAAAGCAATATATGCATGTACATGTATGACTGAAGCACTATGCTGCACACCAGAAATTGACACAACATTGTCAACTGACTGTACTTCAATCAAAAAATAAGAACACATACGACAGATAGTTTATTCAAAAGCACAAGCCCTAGAGACGCGCATTCAGGCAGCCTGCGATCCCTGATGACCCCTTTACGCCCAGAGCTGAGCGTCTCTCAAATGAGCTTCAAAAGGCGGGAAAGACCCAGAACTGCCTGCTGCAAATCCCCACCACTCAGGGGACAGAAAGGATACAGTTAGTGCTGCAGGTAAGCAGCATCTCAATTAATAGCGTCCCTCCTAGTCCCTTACTAGGGAAAAAAAGCAGATTTAGAAGATATTAAGTCTTCACTGAGAATCCAAAACAGGGCTTTCAAATAACCCGTGGTCAGGTCTCTGAGCCACAGCCGAACGCTCTCTGTCAGGACGTCTGGAGACATCTGGGTGTTTCAGTTTTTACAGCCACAGCAGCAGGGAGCGGGGTGAGGCGGGGAGCGGGGTGAGGCAGGCCCCAGGGCGGAGAGCACCCCACCCGATGGGGGGGTCCTGCAGGAGGAGGGGTCATCCTGCCAAAACGCCCATGGAGCTCCCAATGAAAAACACTGGGTTTTCATTCAGAAAAAGAAGTGAGGCAGAACAGAAAACAAAACAGAGCAAAAACCTGTTGTCCTTTTTTCTCCTTACAAGAAAGTTTCTCATTAGGCAAGACCACCCAACCTCGCCCGTGGGTCTTGGGGTTTGGATTCGCCCTTATCCGCCCTTCCTTCTGAAAGTCTCAGGTGATGACTCCACGGTCCTGTCACATCCACCCATGAGCCGAAACCTCAGACTGTCCTCGGCCAAGTCTACTGGTGACGGCCTCAGTTACACAACTGGACATGAACTGGTCCTAGAAAAGCCCGCGAAACTCCACTTCCTCTGCTCCCCCACTCACTGAGGCTGCAGCAGGGTTGAGGACAGGCAGGCCCAGCAGGTCCCCTTCTGGGAGAAAGGGGGTGATCCTGAGCATCTTGTCCAGCAGGTGCTCAGAAGGAAGGGTGAGGAGGAGGTGGACGAAGTAGAGACAAGTCTACTTTTGTAAAGAGATGGACAGACTGCTGACTTTGACAGCATGAAGCAGGCCCCACGTGCGGGACGGCCTGCCAGGGGAAGGTGGAACTCAAGGAGCGTCTGTGTCCTTCTCTGGCTTGGTCTGCCCAGGTGGGAGTCGGGACTGTGTTCTGGAAAGCTGTGAGTATTTCTACATGGGAATGTCCGTGGAAAGCCTACAGTTTGGATTTTTCTAAGGCCTAATTTCAAAGAATCTGTGCTGAGATCCCCATCAGTCTACAAATGTGTATCAGAGCAGAATAAACTAATCACTGTACCTCTGCCGCAAAGTAGCGCACACTTCTCCTTTCTCAAGGGCACTAAAGGAGCAAGGTTTGCTCAGCCACCCAGCAGTGGGCGGACAGGTCTTCATGGTGTCCTCCTGCACGCCAGTGACTGTGTTAGATGCTGGGGACACAGTGTAGAGCACCACCAGGTTGGCACACGTGCAATTAGAACACAGGGTGTTGCGGGCAGAATTGCGGCCCCCACGGAGATCAGTACCTGGCCCTGTGGTTATGTGACGTGGCACCGGGGCTTTGCAGATGCAATTAAGTCAAGAACTTCAACAGGGAGCGATTATCCTGGATTATCTAGATGGGCCCAAAGTAATCACAGGTGTCCTTGTAAGGGGTGGAGGGTTAGAGGGAAAGAAAACAGTATGATGATGGAAACCAGAAGTTGGAAGGATGTAGAGAGGGTGTGGGACAATGCACACCAGGAATGCACGTGACTTTGAGGAACTGGAAAAGCAAGGAAACGCATTCTCCGCTAGAGCGTCCGGAGGGAATGCAGCCCTGATGACATCTCTGTTTTAGACTTCTGACCTCTGGGACTATAAGAGTATACACCTGTGTTGTTTTAAGCCACTAAACTTGTGGTAACATGTTGCAGAAGAAATGGGAAACTTGTAGAGCATGAAAAATAATTACCTGGAAGCCACAGCTGACATCGTGCCAAATGGCGGTGAAGGGATGGATGCTCCCCACTAAGACCAGGGAGAAATCAGGGTGGTCACACTTACCTGTATTCAAGGGAACACTGCGAGTTGTAGCCAGAGCAATAAGGCAAGGGAAAAAAAAAGCATACAGGCAGGAAAGGAAGAAATAAAGCGGCTTCTAATCAAAGATGATGTGATCGTCTAAGTAAATCCCAAGGACTCTATGAAAACCCCTAGAACTGGTGAGTGAGCTCAGCTGGGACCCAGGCTGGGAGACCAGCGCACACAAGGCGACCACACGCACATGTGTGAACAGAAGTCATACAGACCCTGAGACCAAAAACAGCGCTGCTTACAAATGCTCCAAAGGAAACGTACGTTTAGGTATAAATTGAACAAAATATGCATAGTATCTGCGTGCTGCAAATGACAAAATGTTGATGGAAGAAAAATCAAAGACTCGAGAAGAAGGAGAGATTTGCCATGTTCATGGACTGAAAGAGCCAACGCAATACAGACGCCAGGTCTCAAAGTGACCTTATGGATTTAGCATAATGGATATGAAAATACTAGCAAGGGTTTTTTTTCCCAGACATTAGCAAGCTGATCCTAAGCTTCATATGAAAAGGAAAAGGAGCTAGGATAGCTAAAATCGCTTTGAGAAAGAGGACTGATGCGGGACGCGCCTGCCTGATGCTGGGACTTACGACGAGCCTGCGCTCACCGGGACAGTGTGGTCCTGGGAGAGAGACACGTCCATGGAACAGAACAGAGGACCCAGACGCAGACCCACACAGATGTGACTTTTTGGCAAAGCTGCAAAAACAATTTGATGAGGGAATGACAGCCTTTTGGACAAGTGGTTCTGGAGCAGCTGGACACCCAACAGAAAAAAAAGTGCCCTGACATAAGCCTCATACTTTATACGAGGAACTGAAAGTGGACCATGGATTTAAATGCTAAGATTAAAACTGTGAAACTCTTGGAGTAAATCACAGGAAAGCACCTCATACAGCAGCCGCAGGGTGAGGGCGAAGAGCTTGGAGAAGGGAAACCAAGAGCGTAATTCACAAAAGTCAGACGGACAAACCAGACTTCTTCAGAATTAAAAATGCTTGTTAATGGAAAAGACCCTGTGAAGTGGACGAAAAAACCAGTTGTATTTGAAGAACATATTTGCAAACCACACGTCCAATAAATACTCCGTATCTAGAAAATACAGAGAACTGTAAAAATTCAACAGTAAAAGAAAATCACATTAGCAAATGAGTAAAAGTCATGAGCAGGCATTTCATGAAGAGGACAG